TTGAATCCCCACTTGAAAACCAATTCTCATTTGAAAGCAAACTAGAAAAATCTCTGTAACACAGATGGACCTATTTGGCTGGATGTTGATGTACAAAGAAACCTTTGTACATTGAATTGCAGTGTTGACTTCTGCACTTGAAATTTCATTTTGTCATTTTTAATCACAATGAGCAAATGTCATCCTTAATAATAACCCTCTGCTTCTCTATAATGCCTTTCAACAAAGGCCCTGAAAGTACTTTTGCAAATATTAATAAAACGAGATTCATAACAACTCCCAGAGGCATCTGTCTTGCAGGCCAAAAGAAAGTCCAAAGTCATGGAATGACTTTGCTAATCCACACAGGAAACAAAGCTCATGAAGAGAAACAAAGACTATCATTCTGGTTTAAGTCACCCTCACCTCTTTCATAATCACCAGGTTTTTTCATCCATAACCTGAATCTCAGAGGACAAGGAATGAATGAAGGACTATTTAGGCTCTTACTGAGATTTCGGTTGTTTCCCTCTTCCCTAAATACAATCTATATGCCACTGACTCCCAAATTTATAAATCCCATCTAATTTGTCCCCTTCTTCCCATACTCAGATATCCAGCAGCCCTGTGGACCTGACATCTCAGTCCTATCATATTCAAAATTAAACACATGATGTCCCCTGCAGAAACCTGCACCTTTCTCAGTCAGTTCCATTTCAGTAATTAGTAACTCCTCTTTTTCTAGTTTATGGTCCCCAAATCTTAGAGTCATCTTTTAAATCTCCATCTCTCTCACTCCATGTCAAATTATCTGTGAATCTTGTTGGTTCTACTTTTTAAACAAATACAGAGACCAAGCATTTCTTATCACTTCTTCCCAGGCCTACATCATCATCATCATATCTAGCCTGGGCTAGTGTAATAGCCTGCTAACTTATCTAGCCTGGACTACTATAATAGTCTCCTAACTTACCTTCCAGTTTCTATCATTGTCTGCTAGTCTATCTTTTCACAGCAGGAAGATTGACCCTTTTAAAATGTAAGTCAGTTCATGTATTCCTTTGCTTTAAAGTCCTCAAAGACCTCCAATCTCACTCAGAGTATAATTCAGTCCTTACTAAGGCCTACAAGGCCTTACATTATGTGGCCCCTCATATCTCTCTGTCCTCATCTACTGCCACTTCCTCCTCCCTCCTTTAGCTCCAGCCCAGCTGTCTTTTATGCTCTTCAAATAAGCCAAGCATGCTACTAACTCAGAGCTTTCACTTGCCAATACTTCTGCCCAAAAATCTCTCCCCAACATATCCAAATGTTTGCTCCTTCCTTTTTGTAAATCTCTGCTCAAATACCACCTTATCAGAGAGGACTTCACCAACCACCTCATATAACATACATCATTTTCACAATACTCTGAACCACCGACCTTGTTTTATTTATTTTCATTAACTTATTAGCACCTGGCACCAACTGCTAAATTACCCACATATAAATGGCCATTGTAGGCAGAGATATTCTTTCTTCCAGTGATTGCAGAAATCCCCACTCTTCCCTCTTTTTGGGGGATGCCTGGAGATCCTCTCCACTGCCTTTTGTAATGCCAAGTACTTTCTCCTACTTACAATTTTCTCCTCAATGCTCAGGAACATTGAATTTCCCAAAAGAAGTGGGCAAGGCTATGAAATACTTTCCTTCTGCCACTTGGCCTACATCACTGGAAAAATGGATTTTGACAACTGAGTTTGAAACCCTGAGGATTTTTTTCATAGAATTAATATGAAAAGCAGAAGTAGTTTCATTTCTCAAGTACCCTATAGGTAAGTGTTTCATGGCTAGTTTGAGTCTAACATATTTATAACATATTGCACAAGAAAATATGATGTCCTAAATATTTTTCAGACTGAGTTCAGATACAAGCTTCTCTTATCAGTTAACTATTGCTATAGAGTATACCACCTGAAAATTCAGTGTTTTTAACAACAGCCCATTAGTCTATGGGTTGTTACCATAGTCTGGGCTCATCTAGATGGTTCATCTTCTCAGCGGAGCTTTCTTGAGCATCTGCAGTTTTTTCGTGCGAGTTGGCTAGCTGTGGACTTGACAACAGAAGCGGCTAGATACATGCCTCTTACCCTTCGGCAAGCTACCTCTGACTTGTTCATATGTCAGAATCAAAATTCCAACAAAAAAGTGGAAGCATGCAAGGCCCTTTTGAAACCTACTCTTGCAACTGGCATATGATCATTTCTGCAACTACTTATTTGCAAAAACAAGTTATGAGCCTAGCCAGATTAGAAAAATAATATAAGACTTTACTTTTTAATAGGAGCAGCTCCAAAGTTACACTGGAAAGACTGTACATATATGAAGGGTAAAAAATTAGGCATCCTTTTTTTGCAATCAATCTATCATACCTCTTTTTTGATAGCTTGTCTCAAGCAGAATCACGTCCCTTTAATGTCCTTTCATATCACCTTATGCCTACCTCTATTACAAATTTTTGTTTTTTTGTTCTTTTGTTTCTCCTCTAGGAAATAAATCCCTTGAGGACAAAACTTACACAGTTATAGGAACACAGTATTTGTTCAATTAGTATCTATTAAGTCATTCTAAATGGATAAATAATAATAAACAAAATAAATTGATTACAATCAACTTAGAAGTCTTTGAAAAACAATTCCTGAGGACCACATTTTTTTTTATTTGAAGGCAATATTGTCACAATATTTCAAATGATTTCCTGATATTGGGTAATAGACAAGCCCAAAACTTTTCCAAGACTGAACCTTCCTGAATTGTTATAACCAAGAATGAGGCAAATTAGAAACAGAGAGACACTATTTTACTATTAATACTTCCTCACATCATATTCAATTAGTTATGTCTACTTTTACCTAATGTAATCTTTATTGTTATTGGTCTTAATCAAAGCTTTGAAGTTCTCTATCAGTGTACTGCTAAAGCAAAAATATAGATTCATTAAGAGTCTATGCATCTTCACTTCTTTAATACCAAAAATCATTCAGTTCTATCTTTCCTTCTGATATTATTATAACATACCAGTTGCTCAGGGATGTTTGTCATTCCAAATTATTGATTATCTTACAAAGACCTTCTTGTTCTTACCTTCTATTTGCTCTCCTGGTTTATAATCTAGATAGCGACAAAAAGACAGTAACAATAACCAACCAAACAAATGAACAAACTAAATGAAGAAAGGAAACTCAAGCAGGTGTGTTGAGTTCCATCTTAACTTTATAGTATTGTTTTAAAGTATAAAACACCTGTTTTATTCATTTCATAAGGCCATCATTACTCTAACACTAAAAGCAGGCCAAGATAGCACAACAAAAGAAAACTATAGACCAATACCCATTAAAGACACATAAAAATCTTTAATAAAAGATTAGCAAATCATATTTTGCAATATATAAAAAAACATAATACACCATGACCAAGTGAGACATAACATTGCAAAATTAGCAAGTATAATTCACTCTATCAACAGAATATAAAAGAATAACCATTTGATTATCTCAATAGATGGAGAAAAATTATTCAACAAAACTCAATATCATTCATGATGAAAACCCTCAGTAAAGGAGAATCAGAAGGAACTTAATATAATAAAAGTCATTATATAAAATCCACAGCTAACTTTCTACCTAATAATGAAAGATTAAGTTATTTCCCTGATAACAAGTCAAACATGTCCACTCTTTACTGTCTAATTCTATCCCATACTGGGATACCAGCCAATGCAATAAGGTAAGAAAAAGACACAAAAGTCTTTAAATGGAAAGGAAGAATTAAAACTGTCTCTATTTGCTGACACATAATTATTTAGGTAGAAAATCTCAAAGAATCTAAAAAAAATAGCTACTAAAATTAATAAGTTTAGCAGATAACAAATTTAATATACAAAAATTAATTGTATCACTGTATATTACCAATAAACAATTAGAAATTGAAACTTAAAACCAGAATTATTTAGAATACCACAAAAAATAATGTTCATGGATAAACAAGATAAATATGTGCTAAATTTATATTATGAAAATTGCAAAATGGAGGAAACAAAGAAAACCTAAATAAATTGTGAGATATACCAGGCTTATAAATCTGAGCAGCCAATGTTATTGGCATATCAATTCTTCCCCAAATTGATTTATAAATTCAGTGCTGTCTCAACACATGGTCCACTATCAAAATTAAGAATCAAAAATATTTGCTTTTTGAAAGATACCATCAGGGAAATGTTATGAACTGTGAGAAAATATTTTTAACAAACATAACTAATAAAAAACCAACTCTCACAACTAAGTAGCAGCAACAAAACTAAATGAATTAATAAAAGGACTGTACATTTTATCAAAGAAGAGATGTAAAAGCAAATAAGCACATAAGATGTTCCACATTATTATGAGAATGCAAATCTAAACTGCAATGAATCACCACTATATACCTATTCAGACACTTTTCAAAAGAAGACATGCATGAGGCCAACAAACATTTGAAAAAATGCTCATCATCACTGGTCATTAGAGAAATGCAAATCAAAACCACATTGGGATACCATCTCACGCCACTTAGAATGGTGATCATTAAAAAATCTGGAGACAACAGATGCTGGAGAGGATGTGGAGAAATAAGAAAACTTTTACACTGTTGGTGAGAGTGTAAATTAGTTCAACCATTGTGGATGACAGTGTGACCTAGAACCAGAAATACCATTTGACCCAATAATCCCATTACTGGGTATATATCCAAAGGATTATAAAAACACATGCACACATATGTTCATTGCAGCACTGTTTACAATAGCAAAGACCTGGAACCAACTGAAATGCCCATTGATGATAGACTGGACAAGGAAAATGTGGCACATATACACCATGGAATACTATTGCAGCCATAAAAAAACGATGAGTTTGTATCCTTTGTAGGGATATGGATGGATCTAGAAACCATAATTCTCAGCAAACTGACACAAGAACAGAAAATCAAACACTGCATGTACTCACTCAAAGGCAGGTGTTGAACAATGAGACCACGTGGACACAGGGAGGTGAGCCTCACACACTGGGGTCTGTTGGGGGGAAATAGAGAGGGACAGTAGAGGTTAGGGAGGTTGGAGAAGGATAACATGGGAAGAAATGTCAGATATAGGTGACAGGGGAATGGAGGCAGCAAACCACATTGCCATGTATGTAACTATGCAACAATCCTGCATGTTCTGCACATGTACCCCAGAACCTAAAGTGCAATAAAATATATACCAAAAAATAAAATAAAATAAAATGGCTACAAAACAAATGAAAACAAAAAACTGACAATATTAAGTGTTAATTAGAATGTGGACAAAGTAGTTTTTATTCATTACTTGTGGGAAGGAAAAATGATATAGTTACTTTAGGAAACTTGATGATTTCTTGTAAAGTTAAACACATTTACCTTATTTCCCAGCACTTTCACTCCTATGTATTGCCATATAGCTTCACAAATGTCTGTACATAGAAGTTTATAGCAGCTTTTTTCATTATCACTAAAAAGTAAAACTCAAACACCTATCAATTAATGAATGGATAAATATTAATCATTTTACACCTATGCAATGGAATAAAACTGTGCAATAAAAGGAAAGAACTACTGAAACATGCAACAATTTGATCTCAGAAGGATTTTGCTAAATGAAAAAGGACAGACACAAAAGATTGCACGTGTTATGATTCTATTTATATGACCTTTTCAAAAGCAAAATTCTAGGATCAGTTATCAGATCAGTAGTTTCCAGGGTTAGAATTGAACATGGGGATTTATTTCAGAAGGGAAGGAGGCTTTCAGAGCCAGTGGGAATACTGTAAATTCTGAATTCTGATGGTGGTGTTGCGACACAGTTGTAGAGCTTGTATATGTTTGTTAAGACGCATTCATCTGTACACCACAAGTTATGAATTTTGCTCTTGCCAATATGCCTCACTAACCCTAACATAAAAAGGCAATAACTGGTGAGTGTATAGAGTAACACTTGAACATCTTTCCTCCCTGTCTCTTTAAGAAGTCGGCATTGAAAGACTTTGTGGAGGAAAACAGGGACCCCCTAGATCAACACAGAGTTCTTTTCACATTTTAATACCTGGAGTAGTGTGGTCAACTCATTTTTTATGGTATTTCAATGTAAATACTAGGAGAAATATAGAACAGAGTTCCCACCGTTGGCTGTAACACAGACTGAGTACATGTGATTGTTCATAAAATCTTGGAACTCTGATTGGTGTCTTGCTTAGACTACCTTACATTTATTTATAAAGAATGGGTTGGATTGATCTGGTTTTCCGTATTTCAAATTAAACAATTTTTTGAGGGGGGAAGAGGAAATATACTGTAGGCTGTTGAAGACTATAGCCAAAAGTAGGATCGGGCAACAGCTATAAATTTTGGTCACCCACTTTAACTCAGATACATCACTTACTTTCTGAGTGACTGTGTAACTGTATGCAAGCATTTTCTTTTCTTTCTTTTTCTTTGTTTTCTGTCCTTAACATAGCTTTTCTGAACTTGGTTTTCTTTGGTAAAATTGTAAAGAAAACATTATAAAATTATATCTATTCCGTGGTTGCTGTGAGGAATCAAATAACAAAATACAAGAAATGTACTTACTAGAGGACCTAACATCTAGTAAGGAAGCAAAAAATTTTAGCCTGAACTAAAAAAATAAAGAACCACTTCTATTAATGTGTATAGTTGGCACTATTATCAAATCTCTTCAACTGACATACGTGCTTGATACAAAAATCTAAGAAGTTTATAATCTAGCTGGACTTTTAAAAAGTTAGCAGATCCTGTTTACAAAAGTAAATTCCAGTCTTAATGTAATATAAATTAACAAACAATTGAAGGCCCAGTGCAGTGGCTCACGCTTGTAATGCCAACACGTTGGGTGCCTGAGGTAGGCAGATCACTTGAGGCCAGGTGTTAAAGACCAGCCTGGCCAACATGGTGAAACCCCATCTCCACTAAAAATACAAAATTAGTCAAGCATGGTAGTGCATGCCTGCAATCCCAGCTACTTGGGAGGCTGAGGCAGGGGACTTTCTTGAACCTGGGAAGCAGAGGTTGCAGTGAGCCTAGAGTCTGCCACTGCACTCCAGCCTGGGTGACAGAGTGAGACTCTGTCTCAAAAAAATCAGAACAATTAAAGATATTTTATTAAATGGTAAATTTAAAAATTCTGGATTGAAGAATGTTCATAAGTATTGATGTGCTAAAAAAAACAAAAATTAAAAAACAGCTAACAACTTGTAAACAGGCACAATGTAAGTAAGCATCAAATACTGAGATCCCAAGCAGGGAAAAATAATTTCCCAACATTATAAAGGGTTTGTGTGGAATTGTTCAGTGGTCTTCCTATAATCCCCTTATTCTACATCTTTATGAAAAAGCTAATCAGAGAAAATTCTCCAGAGTACTTGGTGAATATGTAATCTTAAACAAGAAGATGTTTTTAAGGCCACGCCACTCAGAAACAAGTTTCCAGGGCTACAGCCAAAATCCATTATAAGAGAATTTAGGCTCCAGAATTTTTTTTCAAGTTAAACTTGCAAGAGATAAGTTAAAGACATACATAGGGAGAAAAAGGAAGGATTTACAGTTTTGAGAGTCCAATCTGTAAGCCCCTGTAGGATAATTTTATATGCATTATCTCCTTTTTATTCTCAGAATAATCATTTAGGTAATTCCTATTTGCTTCAATTTACAGATAGGGAAATCAGAAGAGGTTTAATTTAATCCCTATTCAGCTAAAAAAAACTTTAGGTGTTTAAAGTAAGGCTAAAACATATGACTTCAAGCAGAGATCACACTCCAAGAAAGGCTTCCCTTGAGTCTGGCATCTTGGTCCATTTTATTGGTACAATGGAAGCTCCAACACACCATAGCAACAAAACTTACATCTTTAGACTAGTTTACTGTTCACAAACTCACAGACATTCTCTCTGGTCACTTTTTTATGTAATCCTAATTATCACAAGCTATCCATCAGATGTATATGATTCCCATTTTACAGATACAGAAACTGAGAAACAAAGAGATTAAGATATTTATTTAACGATTCAAAATAAGAGGCCAGTAGAACCAGGGGTCAAATTTTTATCTTGAATCTCTAAATGTCACATTCTTTGTCTCAGAGCTTTTTATACCATTTCTATTCAGGCATTTTATCAATACAAGTGTCTGTTTATCACTTTTAAATAATCCATTTAATTTACTTGGAATTTAAACATTCTCTTTCAAGTTTCCATTTATTTCACATGAATTTCCAAAGGAAGACTGTTTCCATATTAAAGTGTTTTGAATTATTTCTAAACTGTGCTACTAAACTCTCTAACTAATACTTTGAGTAAAATGAATAAGAAGATGCTTACTATCTGACCTAAAGCTTCAGTTGCCCCCATCACACCATTGTATACTTCTGGTTGTTCCCAAATCCCAGCTTTACAATTATGCTATATACCCTTTAGTCTAAAATAATATGGAGGAAGAACTTATGGAGGATCAAGCATACCACTGCATAGCCATTCACAATATCATTAATATCTATAAAACTGTTGGTGAGCATTTATTCCCACTAGACCTAAAGAAAATGGAAGACCAGTAGAACTAGGTTTCTTATGCAAGTTACAGAACTGAGCAAAGGTTTTAGCTAACCCTGAAGCACAAGTTTGTCTCAGAAGTTCCCATCTGTCAGGTGATACTCCAATGTAATTTTTATTTTTATATCAGATGCTTTTGGTTTATGGAAGTAAAGAAAGTAGACTGTACTAGACTTGGAGGAAAAAATAAGTAGATTATTAATAAAAGCAAGGAACATTTACCCTTCTTTTATTATTATTTTTAGGCCTTGTCTAACCAAAATATCCCACTATCCCACATTCAGAGTTTTGTGACAGATGATTCTCAGCATCAGCATTCCTGCAATGGCCCAAAGACATCATTTTGCTTATCACACTTTCATATGTCACTGTTTTAAAACATGCATGGAGTGCTTTGACAGCTTTTGGGCCTGGATGCTTGCTTCTTTAAAGTGATCGTAGGGCATAGTTGGCTCAGTGATGCAGCAGAGATATTTCCAACATTGAGAAACAGGAAAGACAATGTAAAGCTACATTAAATTCTTGAGTATTTTAAGAGCATGGTATTTTTCCAAAACACTTGGTATGTTTTTTCAAAATTTAGCATTAAATTAGAATTGGAGAAGTCTGTGATGTCAAAATAATACGGCTTTCAAACATAATTCTTCTCTTCCTTTTCCAATATATGTTCGTATAAGTCAAACAAAAGTTCTTAAATAAAACAAACCAGGCTTTAAAAAAAGAAATCCTTTGTTTATCCCCATTTCTCTGAGACAAACCTCCCTTGGTATTTGGTAAAGCTGATATATTCCTACATTTTATGTAATTCTAAAAGTTCTACATAGCCTGTGGGCACGCAGTGTTAAATAAAAAGGCACTAACAAACATTTAGGGGATCTCATATGTGCTAGTTCCTGATCATACATTTTCTTATTTTACTCTCATAAAAATCATATGAGATAGGCATTGATATCCCTGCTTTACACATATGCAAACTGAGGCACAGAGAGATTAAGTATTGTTTCCTAAGTCACATATAACTGGTGTCTGATTCTGAGATGCCTTCTATTTCCACTTTACCTGGGGTCCACGATCTATAGCCACATACCATATCCGGCACACTTCCAATTTTTCTAAATAAGCTGGTATTTTCCTACATTTTATGAAATTCCTAAAGTTTTATTGGAACAGTGTCATGCTCTATTTTTTTTTACATATTGTCTAGGGCTTAATTGAATAAAGTGCCAGCCAATAATTTTTTGTCTTTGTAAGCCATATTATCTCTGTTATAACAACTCCGCCCTTGCAATATGAAAGCAGCCATTGACAATTTCTAAAAAATGTGTTGCTATAGTTCAATAAAACCTTATTTACCAAAAAAGCATCAGTCCAGTTTTAGCCAGCAGAATATAGTTTTTCAGCCCCTCTCAGGTATGGAAATGTGCCTCTTAAAGCAGAATTTGGTAAGTTCCTTTCAAAATATGTAAAGTCTGACCTAATCAAATATTGATGAGTTCATTCAAACATAGAAAGTGTGAGGGCTGCCTTAAAATTTTTTTTTTAAATCATTGGTTGAAATGATCAGGGGCTTAACATTCAAATTCCTTATAATTATTTGAGTATAAATCTTCTTTTTCCATATCCTTCCA